GATCCTGGCAAACAGAAATGAAACTTGGTACTCCGATCGGAACCAGACAATCAGCTATCGACGATCGGCCCGATGAGGACGTACGACCGGAATCGGGCTCGCGGGATGAGACCACAGAGCACCGAATGCTCGGACCTGCGTTCGGAAAGGACGAAGCAGAGAATTGCTATGCGAGCCAAGATATCAGCCGATGTCCGACAACAGAATGATTCCTTGTGCTTCGATCGATCGTTTCGGAACCTGCTAGTATGCTCTGCGACGCAGATCAGTTCCACTATTCCTAGGACATGATAGATCGGACTATTTCTTGTATGGCCAAACAGCGTCTCGGGGCGAAACAAGACAACCGATACGTCGAATTCCTGTTGGTGTGCATCTTGTGTTGGTACGGCGTTTTTGATAATGACTCCTCTGTACAAACAGTACCAGGGTATAAGTGGAATGACTGGAATTCCCTGGAATAGCAATCACTGATCACTCCTGGAATTGGCGAGATATCTGTGAGTCCAGACTCGATCTGAGTGCTCCAAGGGAAACTTGCTTTGATAGTGTAATAGATAGATTTAGCTGTATAATGATGGTGTTGCTTATAGTGTCTTTGTTGTTGTTGTTTATCTTTATTCTCATCTTGGTTGACAGAATCAGTGGCGGGAGTCCTGTGAGTTGGCTCCCGCTTGAAAAAGTAGAGTGTATCGTCAGGTTGCTGAATCTGATGGTACGGTGGTGCCATGAGTGGGCCAATCACAGGAAGTGCCGTAGGTTCCAGCTGTGCTTCCAGAGCTAAGGAGACGCGTTGACGTGTCCAGAGGTCGAAGGGTTCATCGCATAGAACCTGTGGTTCGAAGGTGTGGTACCCTGTGTGGTCCTCTTGGATTTGCTGTTGGATACTCGTATCAATAGCCTCGTATTGGGAGGTACCGTAAGCAAACTGTGAGAAATCCTGATCAGTGGGTGGGAAGATTGTTTCTCCATCGTCGAGTGCAGGCATTGGAGGATCCGCTTCGTTGGGTACGTCGAGGAGGTCCACCGGCGTCGTCGTAGTCTCACGAGTGGTTTGTGTTGGGTTGTCCTCGGATCCATCAGAGAGATATACGAAGGGCTGCCAGTCAGGATCAATCTCTGGCTCGCTGAACAACATTTCGTGGGAGTAGGACTCGTAGGATGAGCGATCAACCTCGTGAACTCGTACCTCACGTGTAGCCGTATTGGACGGCTGTGATAGGACGGACGCGATGTCACCAGCGAAGGACGGTGGCGTTGAATGCGTCTTGTTGCATGCGAGCTGCAACAGGTCGGTGTCCGTCTTGTTGGACTTGGTTTGGCGCGAGGACACTTCCAGGTTGCCTGCTCGTGGCGTGGTGTTGCCCACGTTGAGGAAGTCATGGGAGTTGACTGAGCGGGATGGGCGTGATTGCCCAGAGTTGTGCTGACTACGTCGAACAGCTAAGTCAGCCGTGTAGTCAAGGATGCTCTTCTTGCCCTGCTCAGAGATATTATCCCATGCCTCTTGATCCGACTTGGATAACGACCGCCATGTGGTTGCGTTCATCATGACCTTGCGCGGACCACGAGTGTCTGTCTGATGGGCTTGCAATAGGACCTCCACTGGTGTATCCATGTCGTGGACGAACGCCTCATAGGCGTTGTCACAGGTTTCCGCTGTACCATCATCGAAGAGAATTTCGTGTTGGTAGGTGCGGCGACGAGCATTTCTTCGAGAGCGTGTGGACGTTGCATGATTTGCACTGTCATGCAGTTGTGCTTGCTCGAGAAGGGCTGCTCGGTATTGCTTGAGTGTATACTTGGAGGTGTCTCCTGCGGCTTTCTTGGTTTGCAGTGCGAGACGTCGTATGGGAGCGAGATTTGGTGCCTTGGAGATTGAGCGTTCCAAGAAACGTGCTCCCTGCTGGTCAGTGTATGGCTCGTCGCTGATCTTATTGTACTGCCGAAACTGTTCGAGGAAGTTGGAGATGAAACCAGCTTGGGACCCTCTCCATACACCTTCTGCGATATCTGCGGAGGTGAGATAACACGAGATCTTATCCGAGCGCAGGGTTGCGACGATGGACTTGGAGTAATATTCGTCAATTGCCTTCCAGATTGCACGAGTGTCCTTGTCGGTTTCGTTGGCAAGGACGACAGATCGAGCATGTGCTTCTTGGAAGATGTCTTCGAAGGTCTTGTACATCCATTCTCGTTGTTTCTCGTCTAGTTCGACGTTGGTGACCGTGAAGTCAGAATCAATGAGGTGGGAGAGACCTTGAGATTTGAGCGTGTTGAGGAAGTTCTTCCTCCATTTGATGAAGGCTGATTCGTCGCGAAACTCTCTGAACTCCGAGCGGACGGGCTTGTTGTTCTTGTCCCAAAGTGCGATTGCACGCTCCCCATCGGTCATCGTGGTATCGCTACGTCTCATTTGCTGCCATGGGACGATTTCGCCGTGTGGCTGGAAGAGTCCAACTCTGAAAGCGTCGAGCGCGGTGGCGGTCAGTGATACGATGCGGACAGGTGCTTCGACCAATGGTGATACATCTGTATCGCCGCGAGCAGTAGCTTCTTCCTGGTGAGAGGTACTGGTCTTGGAGCGCCGTTGGTGTCGTTGGAAGCTTGGAGATCCATAACTTCATCTTTGGTGAGAAGTAGGAGATCCATCCATCCATCAATTCCTTGTTCAGACAGTGCGATGCGCATGTGAGATGCATTGTACCCTGTGTTGGAAGCGTCTTCGCCGCATAGGTTGCATAGGACATGCTTGAGCCTGGCTGGTTCATCGGCCATCTTGATGGAGGTGTGGCAGTGCGTAACTGCGACTAGTTAATCTGCTAACGTGAGGAAATACTACTTGAATAGAGGGATCTTGTAGAGGTAGCTACCACCCAACGATATCAGCTGCAACTATTCAAGACGAGTGCAAGGTAAATGCAAAGGTCACTTTTTAGTAATTCATAATCTGTGTTGTGAGCTTTGATTGATGCGATCAGTAAAGCTAGTTCGTAGCGTGTTAGATCAATGCATCGTGGTAGTTGATCTTGATTCATACGGAGGTCAACGTGGTATCTGCGGGAAACGGTTCGTTGGCAGGATGCTTTACTCCTGTCGAATACTCCAGCTTACCATGTCCTTTGGTTTCGTTGAGAACGTGTACTTGCCAGCGTTCTCTGTTCCATCGTGTTGACTCATAAAGCATGACTCAATCTACTCACGGATACTCTGAGTCTTGGGAGGAACCGTAACGCTTTCATGAAGGGCAGATGTTCTTCATGTCTGTGGATGGTATTTGTTGTCGTATGGAGGAGCCACAACCTAGGTCCACAATTTGGTCATGCCACAAGTTTGGTGGGGACCAAGGCTTAAATTACAAAATTGAGTTGTCCATTAAAATTGCACCCAAAGCTCCTGTGGGTATATGGGCCAACAGCTCCCGGCTTACATAATGACCTTGAGGTTGTTCGGCAGTCGCTGCTACCCACAATGAGGATATTCGGTCGAGACAAACGCATCATTGCTGATGGCATCTATGGGGCAGCATCTGAGTCTGATATCATCAGCATTGAAAACGAGTTCAATTCAAGAGATATTGCGGAGTTCAAGGAAAGGGCATGTGCTCGACACGAGAAGTACAATGGAATGATACATCTATTCAAGTGTCTGGAGGAAAATTTCGGCATGGCATTTCCTTCCACAAAGAATGCTTTGAAGCTTGTTGCTCTTTGGCTTGTATTCAACTTGATAATGGCAGCTTCTCTTTGTTTGATCCTTACCCTGCCACCTAGGCAACAGCAGAACTCATAGGTCGGCCATGGTCGACAGCAGCACTTGTAAGTTGGCCATCGTCGACGTCGACGTACTCAAAGCATGAGGCGGTGTCACGGATTCAGTTCAGTTAAGGATTCAGTACTTATTCGGTTTTCACTGCCCCACAATTAGGCATAATTCAGTTTAACTGAAATGGCACTGCCAGCTGCCAGTTTTAGTAATTTAAAAAAAGGATGTTTTCAGTGATTCAATTATTATTACCGATTTTGTTTTCTCTTGCCCCTAATAATAAGTACCAAATAAGGGCAAAATTCCGTTTTTGCGCCAAGGTTCAGAATGGAGCCGTTTGGTGTCTGAGAAGCGGCCTTGCATGCGGGTTTTCAAATGCCCCTGGGTGGTGCCAGTGTAGACCATGTTGGTGCGGGCTTTGTAGAGGACAATTGGGTGGCGGCAACAGTAACTGTTGTTGTAGCCACAGGATGGTTCATCGGAGTTGAGGGTGCAATTGCAACAGTAGCTAGTAGGCTGGTACGAGTCCTGCTTTTGCTGCATGTAATTTTCAACGTCATACTGGAATAAATTATGCATATCCGGTACCTGGTACTGGAGTACTGCCTTAGAGCATGCAACACCGGGGTACCCCAAATCACAAAACCCAAATGGTTGGCATCGAGTATCGCCGGCCGACCTGAGTCGACTGAGTCAAATGGGTTTAGCGACCATGTGGCTCGCGCAAATCCGAGTTGTTTGCGCAGCCCAAACAGCCGACCCAAACCCATTTGACTCATTGGATTCAAATTTACTTAAGGAGAAGAATTGCCACATCATCAATGACATCATTCTAACATCACAATAGGAGCGTTGAGGTTCTCTTTCGCGAGCAAGCATAGCCTAGCTAGCAGCGAGGATGGTCAACCTCCAACCATTTGGGTTTTGTGATTTGGGGTACCCCGGTGTTGCATGCTCTTAGATGGTTACATAATATCCCCGTCTATTTATGCATCCTGTACACCATTCGTCTCAGTTTGACCTTCTGGTTCAGAGTCTGGCAAACGTTTGAAAAGATAGTCGATTTGAGATACAACAAAAGCGCCGGGCTTCTTTTTCTCTGTGTCTTCCATTTCTTCCAGATCTGCCAGGTCGAACATGACCAACTTTTCTCCCGTATCTCCTCCTCCATCATAATACCCAATGTGGCGCCAACGAAGATCGGATTCGTGGTATTTCAAACCCTTCTTGGCCAATGCTGAGAGGCAACCACTGACCTGCTTCCCCAATTTCTCATCCGATCGGAATTTCTGTCGTTCTTCTTTGGACAAAGGTCGGAAAAAGGGCATGACAACGCAAGGGAACGTGTTGAGCTCTTCGAAGTAGACTTCGTCCTGCAAAAAAGGATAAAACTCTAACAATCGCTTGGCCTCCCTTTTGCAAGAATCTGTCCCGGTTGCTTTGGAGTCCTGTAGAGACTGAAGCTTTTCATTCTCGTCATTACCTCGCTTGACATTACCTCGCTTGATGTACATCTTGATCGCACAGCGTTTTCCACTGTGGTCATAGGCGTCAAAGACTTTCGAAGTGTCGCCACGGCCAAGTTTTTCAATCGCAAAGAAGCTTCCCTCGGAACAAGGCCCTCGGTTTGTCCGCCTTGTTGAGCTTCCTCGTCCCTGGAACGTAATCGGGGAACCCACGCTGAGCCGAAGATGGCCCCAGTTGTATTTGCTCTTGTTCAACTGTAGGGCTATACCATCGTAACTTTTCCGTACGGAGGAGTAGTTCTCACGAGGAGCAGTTGGATTCCGCGCAAGACCACAAATTATTGCCGTGTACAACAACGGTACAAGCTGTTTGCTGCTGTAGACTTCTGTTTGAAGCAATTTGTCCCTGGAACATGCATCAAAGGTAGACTGAAGATCAGAATCTGTACCAGTATTGTCGTTCGCCGTCCCTACTTCATTTTTGAGTTCCGGTGGCGATGGTGTCTTCTTTTCTGCTGCAACAAGCTTGGTAGGAGAGATGGCATCAGTGCCGAGCTTATCTTTCACTTCTGTAAGTCTGTCTTTCGATTCCACTATTTTGTTGGACTCTTCGTCATCTTGCCAAAACAACCAGGACTCCTCAAAAGTGGACAAAACAGCAAAGGGTGCGGAATGCCCAAGGCAGCGCAACTCCATCAGGTAGTCAAACATTTGTCCCCGAACGTGATTGGTCATCTTCTTTCCGTCACGAAATGGTTTCTTGTCTTCCACGGCAATAATCGGGTCTTGCCTAGCCTTATCATAAAGAACAAGATGATCGGGTCGATCCGACCACAGGCTGAATTCGTGGTGAACATGAAAGGTTCTTCCAGTTGCCGCTTGCGCAAGCTGTTGTGCATCTTCCAGTGATGCGGTGATCCAGCCCGAGACATCGCTTTCACTGTGGTAGCTTCCTACCAGATGATTCGTGTTTTGTGCTTTTCTTGCGTTTTTCCGGAATTTCACAAGCAAAGAAGATGGTTCATGGAATGGAAACTTATCGACTTTGTCGAAGCTTTCGAGATTCATCTTATGCTGCTTCGATGTGGCTTCTACGTGCTTTGACTTCCCCGTGTGAGAATTCTCGGTACCAACTGAGCGCAAAGCCATTTCCGGAGTATTTTTGATGAGACAACTCATGGAGTACTCTGAGTGTTGTGCAAGTGCTTCAGCTTGTCGTTTATTTTCTTCAGCTTGTCGTTTATTTTCTTCAGCTAGGTGAATGAAAGAAGAAAGGTCCTTTTCATTCATCCCGTTGAGAGCCCCCTTCGAAAACTCCATGCCCAAACTCTTTGCTTTCTGCAGGAGCTCCTCGAAGGGTGAGCTTGTTTTGAGCTTCTTTGTGGCCGGGGCTGGCCCCTGAACTTCGAGTGACATTACCCTGGTAGTACGACTTGCACTTGTTCTAGTTAGTGTGCTAATGGCCGCCTGTTATTGTTGTTGTTGCTCACTGCTTGGCTGTTGTCGTTTTGCGTTTTGTTAATAAGTGCTGTTCAGTACGAGGGCGCTTTCAGCGAAGAGTTAAGGTGGTCGCACCCAGGATGTAAGGCCGGTCTCTACCGGAGCGACTAAGGGACCGAAAGGAAACCTTTAGGTGGTTGTTTAGTTCAAGATTTAGTCATTATCCTTTAGTAATGGTGGTGTCTACCAGCAGATGACTAAATCTCGGACTAAACAATTTAGTCAGTTCTTTAGTCATTTGGACCTGTCTACCCAGCCGACTAAACAAATTGACTAAACAATTCATGGGAACAGTACTGGACTTAAAGGACTCAAAAAAGATTTAACAAAAGTGATCACTTGGTGGGCTACCAATATTCTATCAGGATGGTAGATTTAAAGGACTCAAATACAAAAGACTTAACAGAAGTGATTACTTTTTGGAGTTAACAAGACTTAAAAATCTCATCATTCGATCGCACCTCAGTCAATCCACCTCAGTCAATTGACCAAGCCGACAGTCTTCCGTTGAGAATAGAAAGCCATCCCGCACTCCATAGTCTGCAATGAGGGATGGCTTTCTATTCTCAACCGAAAACTGTCGGCTTGATAAAGTGCGATAGATGTGCGATCGTTTGCACCTCTACTATCGGCCGATACTCCTCTTCGATCGTTCGATCGTTTGCACCTCTACTACTCCTCTTCGATTGTTCGATCGTTTGCACCTCTACTACTCGTTTGCACCTCTACCGGTACCGTACTATCGGCCGATACTCCTCTTCGATGGTTCCATCGCACCTCTACTCTATCAGCTCTGTCGCGATGCTCTGATAGTGAGGCTGTGCAATGAGGCTGCTGTTCTTTTTTAAAGTGCTGTTTTTAAAGAGTTCTTAAAGAGGCTTTAGTCAGTACACTCACTCACCGACTAACCAGCCTCCGGTTAGTCGGTGAACGAACATTTCGACTAAAGCCTTTAGTCTGTATGACCTTTAGTCCATATGGTAGACACCACCCCCAGAGACTAAACTATCGACTAAACTATGAAATATGGCTTAGTCGCTACTTTAGTCGCTCCGGTAGAGACCGGCCTAAGCCAGCTTTAGTCTGCTATTTAGCCGGCGTGGAAAGCTTCCACGCTACTAGACAGCTACTAGCTGAAGTTTCCACGTGTTCCGGAAATGGACCGTGGAGTACGTATAGTTATTACCATAACCTACGATATCACACTTCGAGGCCTCCTCCCCAAGGAACAGTCATGTTGTTGTGTGGTACGGGCTCTCCAGGACCGCGAGGATCATTGGGATCAATATTATTATCAAAATATTCATCGGACCATGTAAAATCCCGCGTTTTGAGGTCGTCCCACACTGTTTCACTGTATTCTGGCCTGGTAACCATTTCAATTTTTTCGATGGTCCAGGGGCTGAAAGTTGGGTTGGGAATAATGTTGGCCCCCTCCAAACAGACTCTATCGATGATGGGGTGGGCTTCCCGTACCCTCCAGTAGTGTTCTGGGTGGGAGAGGTCTCGAGTCCGAGCCTCACTCCCCTTTCAACGACTTCCATGCCAGGGTGTTGGTTCCGACGAAACATGTTCTGGTGCCGACCAGGGTTGGAAAAAATCGATTGGGTCCCTTCATCTTGGTTTCCACCGCTAGTTTGCGAATTGTTGGAGTCGTTGGAATTGTTGTTGCCTTTTTCTGCGGTAGGCGAGGTGTTGGTATTACTCTGGTGGGCCTGTTGGTTTGTGGATTGTCCCTGGGAACCAGAGTATTGGTTGCCATACTTTTTCTTGTCCTGGTCCTTATGTTCAAGGACCCACTTCTTGTTTTCAGGCGTCATCTGCTTCCAAGCCTTGCTAGAAAATCCACTTCCTGGTGGGGGCCACCAGTTCCTTGTCCATTATTTTGCTGGTTGTTGTTGTTGCCGGTCCCAGCCTGGGAGTTCAACTTGGCAAGCCTGCACCGTTCCTTCTTTTCCTTCTTCTTCTGGGTACGGGTCTTTTTGTTGCTTCTCCTATTGCCAGAGTTGTATCCATTGTAGCAGTTCTCCTTCCTTGCTTTGTTGGTCAACCTCAGCTTCAGGTCCTCCAGGGAGTAGTCTGTGTAGTGGTCAAGGATGTTTTGGAATATGTCATCCTTAATACCGCTCACAAAAAGGTTTCTCTGCAGGAACTCAGGTAGGGCCACCCCACAACCTTCAATCTCAACAACCAATGTCTCAAACTTGGACTCATACCAGGAGTAGCCTCCCCTGGTTTGCTTGTTTAGCTTGAGGTGTTGGAGGGTCTCCATCCTGTTGGAGGCATTCAATTCTTTGTCACCTCCATGCTCATAGACCTCCACCAACTTCCTCCAGGCTAGGCAGCCATCCAGGGTACTCAAGTAGGCATGGACCTTGGAGAAGGCAGTCCCACCCTCTGTCTTCAGAACTAGGATGGAGAAGAACTCCTGGACTTCAGTATCGTAGGCAGGATCCTTCTTCCTTCTCTTCAGGTGCTCCTTGATATCCTTGTCATCTTTGACGGTAAGGAGATGCCCCTTTCGCATCAGGGAGCAGATACTTAGGGCAGAAAGGTGGAAGGACTTCCAGTGGTTTTGTTTCCCATCAAAAGCCTTGAAGTCAGACATGCTGGCCTTCACCATTGGTTTGGTGGTGAGTGCAGAGCTGGAGAAGGAGGCTAGATGTGAGTCTAGGGTCCCATCCTCAGTGATGGAGGGGGGACCAGCCTTCTTTGTCTTGGGCTTGGGTTTGGGGGCTTCATCATCTTCAGGTTCAGGATCTTCAGAGTCATCATCACTGCTTGAGTCTTCTGGGTCACTGTCACCACCATCTCCAGCAACCCCCTTTTTGTCAAGCTTAAACTTGACAACCTTGGGCTTAGACCCCTTAGAGTCCTCAGTTCCAAGATTAGATTCAGTCTCAGCTCCACCAGATTCAGTCTTCTTGGTGGATCCTTTGGATGGGGGTGTGTTGTAGCCATCCTTCAGGGTTTCCTCTAGCGCTTTCTCAGCTCTGGCCTTGCTATCCTGCAACTTCAAGAGCTCATACTCAGCTAGGGCTGCTTTCTTGGCTTCGCGGGCCAAGTCAACATCCTCAATCCACTTGTCCTCGTAGTGTTCCTCGATTTGGTCAGGCCCAAAGTTCTCCTTCCAGTCTCCCAATTCGATATCCATCGATAAAGTCTAGGAGCGAGAGCTCTGGATCCCGTCAGAGATAGCTCCAACAGCTATGCTGGCCTACGGCTCCAGCACCCACAGCTGGCTTATCTCCAGCCAAAGCAGCAAGAAAGGATCGTCCTTTCTACCATAGTTAAGAAAATAGTACGAAAGATTGAGACCGATCCTGATTAGCTTGTAGCCCCTTTGATACCGCAGCAGTTGATACCAATCCTGTTGAGGCCGGGCAGAAGCAGTAGGAGGTAGCAGATAGTACTGTTCCCAGACTGCCACTGCACGATTGAATAACAAAGGCCCCCAGCTCCTGAGGAGAGCTGGTCCAAAAGGGCCCAGCAGAGAGCTCTGCTGGCCCTCCTGTCTGACTGACAGGACCAAGTCCTTGGTTTGGTGCCTACTGGAGGTGTTGGATACTCCTGAGGCACGACAAGGCTCCCTGAACTGCCTGACTACCGCTGTCCCTGAGGAAGGGTTTCAGCGAGACCCAGACCACTACTTGAGTATTGGAACCGAACCTTCCAGAAACTTATTGGATTAACAGTCAGCATAGATTTACAGGCAGTTCTTAAGGGAAGAAGAGACCTCCTTGACGAGAAAAGGATCTCTTCGAACTACACTACAGCTACATTTGGATTCATTGGATTTCATTGGAATTTGGTGGTGATTTCAAGGCCCATCTTGAAGTCTTATATCCACAACCTTCTGGTCAATTTTGATACTTCCAGCCTTCACCACAGTGACAACCACCTTTGCATTGATCCTCCACCATCTAGGAGACCAACACAAAGCCCACAGCCATTGCGAAAGGACCTATATCCCCACAACATCTTGCCTCGACGCCATTGACTTGAGGCTTGAGGCTTGAGGTAGCTTCCCGTTGACACGAAAAGCATCCAATTCGCTCGAAAGCTCGAAAGAAGAAGCCAGGAACATCTGGAGTCTCCGAGTGAACAGGAGACTTATCGTTTTTGCACCTATTTGGCAATTGAACAAAGCTTTTACCTCCGAAGAAGCATCGCCCGTTTATTACTGCATTCGAGGCATATCTCTCCGACCACCGGGCTTATCGCTTTCCAATCTTGCAGCGAAGTACGTGATTTATTGTCGGAACAAGAGGCTTATATCTTCATTGATTCCACAAAACGTCCGTGCAGTATTCAGCGATCTACGGAACGTCAAAGAACAATTCGACGTTGGTTCACGAAAGTCGCTCAGCCAATCAGAACGTCCCTGCATTTTTGGTACTTATTACGAGTGCACTGAGTCAGGTCCGAACGTCACGCGGAACGTCAAAGAGTTCTTTATTGATCCTGGATCTTTGAAGATTTAAACGACGAGTTTCCGTACCGGTTTCGGGCTTATAGGACTCAGGTTCCCCGTACCGGTTTTGTTCTGCAAGCGAGCCCACTTCCCGTAACCCGATTGCACTCACATTTCAAGGAATTTACGTGGTCGACGCATTGAAAACTCACGATCCTCTCCGTACGAAGCCTCGAGTTCACCGAATTGAGTAACTCAACGAGCTCTCGAGGCAACCAAGAGGTCAATTCGCTTGGCTGAAACTGGTACCAGTGCATCCGCCACCCTTTATTTAGTTGGTGGGTATCTCACCTTGAATTTTGGGAGCTTTTGTGGGGAGATTCACTGGTCCCAACAAGCTAGCTTCCAGTGTGGCAAAATCTCACGAATCCAAGCTACTTCCCAGCACCAAGGCGACACAGGAAGCAGGCTCCAGACCCTCTACACTGGCTACCTTATTCCAACAGAAATAGATTGAATTTCCAAGACCTCTACCAAGGTCCCAAGAAGTCATCTTTGTGGTTTCCAGATTACAGTTGAGTCAAGGTTTATTGCTCTGCGACAACAGCTGGAGTCCATTGTTTCCCAAGCACAACAGGTACACCTCTTCCTTGGCAACACAAGAGGCACAATGTCTAGCTACTCAGACCAATGCTGGTGCCACTCCTCAGAC